TCTGACATTGTAGCCTCAACAGTACTGAAAGATTTCACATCCACTCCCTGAGAAAGGTACACTCTATCTAGTCTCGCAGCATATCCACTCCTAACAAACGTATATTCAGTCTCCCACACCGCCCTCCCAAAGGCATCACGTAACCTAACATCCCTTAATAAATCCCTAAGAGCCACAGACATATATCCAGCCCCTTTTGGGTCCAAATCAGCCACTCTGATTACATTATTCCAGTCCCCACCAACAATTGCCACCTCTGGCAGTGCACTTAAGAAAAACACAAGATCCTCACACACAAAATCATTCTTTACCTTTATGTTATTTTCTGCCGGCGCATACACACTCACAAAAGACACACGCTTACCCATCCACCACCCATCCACATGCAACACCCTCCCTCCCCCCTCACTTCTCTGCAAAACAAACGGGCTCATCTCCCTTATTAAAATACCCACACCACCTTTTAGACGGGGAGATGGCAGGGTAAGTACTCGAAATCCTGCCACCTCCAACACCCTACTCTCTTTAAAATTGTGCTCCTGCAGGAACACAACATCCACTCTAGATTTATTCAGGAAATTACGAAACCAATCTCTCTTCATACCGCTACATAACCCATTAACATTTACAGACATACACCTAAGGCCTATTAAAGTTTCCACCCCTGCTTCCTCTCATCACTTTTTACAACTCCAGAGCTTGAATTTGAGTTTGACACCTTCAGAGTCCTCTCTTTCCCTCCCCCCTTCTTCCGGGAACCTCCTATCATGGCTACCACCACCTACACTATTACTTTCACACTTCACCTCAGTCCGTTTCCCAGGCCTTTGTGCAGGCATAAGGACGTCATCAGAATCTGATGTAGCCGCCCTCTTTCTCGTGACAGTCATGTTACACATGTCTTGGTCAGATGTTGCCTCACGATGGACCTCCACCTGCACCTGAGAATGGTTTAATGATTCAACGGACGACTCCAAACCACCATCACATCCCAAATTATCATGTCTCCGACTTTCTGGAAGCGACGACTCTCCGATGACACCACGCTCAGATGTAACGTCCCTCTCTGGCGGTGACAGTCTTCAACACCTCCATCAATTCCTCCTCAATCTCAAGAACCTTCTCCTGTAATTGCTCCTCCTCCTTATCCACAGGAGATGATACCTGATCAGGCAGCTGTGGGAGGGACTCCAACTCACCGCCAGTCCTGTGTGCCCGATCCACTATCTCGCTCCACAAAACACCACGCCCTCCATCCGATGTTTGTTTCTCACCTGCCACCTTTGAAGCAGGGGCTGCGATGTCCACCACAGGTCCAGGCACATGTCTTCACTTGTCACAGGTCGCTGCTATGTGATCATACTCACCACATAGGCGGCATGTACGTCGTTGTCCTGGGTACATTACCATTACCTGCTTCCTGAAATCTTGTAGATACACGTAGGACGGTATTGGGTGCCTCAAAGTCATTTTGAGGTTGAAAGAACCCTCTGGAAAACCAGCATAGGCACCTGCCGCCCACGTACCATGTTGAGCATAATGCACCATCCCATACGTCTCAAAAACTTTCCTTATATCCGCCTCGTCCGCCTCAAAGGGAACGTTGCGTAACTTGATCCACGTATAATGCCGTGAAACATCTATCATTCTTACACTGACAGCTGGTGTGACGCTAAGACTTACGTCCTGAAACCTGGTGACTAACAATTCATAAACCGTAGCTGATAGCAGTTTGACGAAAATTCTTTGGCCTCCGTTTAATGCTACACCATACAAGTCACTATCTTGTATGCCATATGTCTCCTGGATGATCTTTGGCAATAAGACTTGCGCAGAACTAGGCGTGATCGTTCCTTTAAGTAGCTTAATGCCTACAGTATTTATCCGGCGTCTCAGACTAACCGCCATCTTGACAATCAAAGAGCACCTATGTTGTTAGCAGAGGCGTGACAGCACCACTTCACACCGCTGCAGCCAGGTAGCTCACAGGGGAGCTCGCCTACAAACAGCAGAGGGGTGCAGAGCACAACTGCACTCTACCGTGGTCAGGCAGCGAATATGATAAGATTATTAATTAGTGATTTTTTTTGGCAAGAACCAAGGCAAGCAAATTGTTTCCTCTAGTTGGTTCTGTCGCAAACTGTTTTAAAATGCAATCAATCCTATCAAGAAAGTCACTAGATTCAAGATTTCCTGTCATATTGTTTCAATCAATTTATCTAAAGTTAAAATTTTTCATTTACACGACATTTTCATGTCTAGGCGCCTTATGAATTTCACCCCATAGCAGCTTCCTGTACTTCCTATCAAGATTTGGGGGTCTATAAATCACACCCAAAATTAATTTGTCACGACCCTTGAGAAACTGTAGCCAAACAGATTCTGTGTCCGATGCTTCTAATCTCATATCATGTCTAACACAACAATTTAAATTATCTCTGACATACATCGCCACTACGCCACCCTTCCTGTTGACTCTATCAGTGTGGAGTAGTTTATAACCTTGTATGTGGCATTCAGAAGGCATTTCTCTATCTTTCAAGTTGAACCAGGTCTCCATTACTGCATTAATATCTATATTACCTGCACATGCAAGTAATCTTAGCTCATGAATCTTATTTCATAGACTCCTACTTTTAGTATAGTAAACCTTAAAGGCCCTAGTCACCCTCTGCCCTCTGCTATCTTTTTTTGTTGATCAATTACCTTGCCTTTACTAGCTGACTTTTCTATGGCTGACTTGTATTTATCCAGCAGCTCTTGTCTCCTCCCCTTCCCAATATCTTTTCCACCAGTACTAAGACATGATGGGCTTATTCCCATTACCTGACATAATATTATCCAACCTGTTGAATATGTCATCAACACCAGCTTCTGGGAAGCACACTCTCTGTCTAACGTTCCTATCTCCATTACAGAAAGCATGGTCCATATATCTTATCTGTGAGTCACCCACAAGCAGAATGTTCTTACGTTCATTAGCAGGGAAGTTAGTGGTACCTTTAACCTCACTAATCACTGAAGTACACTCATCCTGGAAAACAGAGAATCGATTTCCTACCTTCAGATTTTCTCTATTAAGCTTCCACTTGAAGCGGTTGCCACTCTTCAACTCACTGTTGGTAACCTTTTCCTCCACACCGACTCCACCCTTCGCACATTCACTCCCAAAGCCATCTAAGCGGATTTTCAGCATCCTATTTTCGTCTTGGAGAAGTAGAACCTCATCCTCCAACACTTTAACCTGAGATTCCAAAGCACTACAGCAAGCTATGGTGTTTTATAACGCTCCACACTAACCTCCAGACAGTTAAGACAGGATGATCTTTTGTGACAACTGACCTCATGGAGACGAAATGATATCTTACTAATGTCTTGTGATAATTCATATAAATTGGTAATAAGAAAGATTGGGTAGTGGTCAGTGGTGTTATCTGTTATTATCCCTGCTTTGAGAGATATTGTATTGGTCCAGATAAGGTCAATTAATAAGAATACTTGGAGGGTGTTTCGGGGTCAACGCCCCCGGGCCTGGTTCATGACCAGGCCTCGCGGTAGGTTAGGGCCTGATCAGTCAGGTTGTAACTGCTGGCTGCACGCAAACCACAGCCCAGCTGGTCAGGTACTGAATTAGATGCCTATCCAGCTCCCTCTTGACAACCAGGGGTCTATTAGTAATCTCTCTTATGTACACTGGAAGGCCATTGAATAATCTTGGGCCCCTGACACTTACTATATTGTCTCTTAGGAGGATCTTGTCCTAGAAATTCTTGCAAGCTTAGTTATAGACGGTAATAGTAAACAATTGTTCTTGGTGTTTGTGAAGTTTGCTGCTTGAAGGTCATCTGACTGGATGAGGTTTATGTTGAAGTTGCCAGCAAATATTAGGTGATGTTTGTTTAAGTAATTTTTTTTAAATGTGGACACTATGAATACTTTCATTTTCAGGGTCTGGACTGGTCAAGGGTTAATTACTGAGAAGGAGGGGGGAGGGGTTGAAATATCTACCACACATAGAAAATAAACATGCATTAAATATCAACGCATTTATTAAATAACTACAAATGAATTATTTTTATAATTCATTGATGGAAACTTGACTGATAAACGAAAAAGTAGAGCCACTCTGATAGATGTAGAAGCTTCAGAGAGAAAGGAGGAATTAGATACAAGAAATAAATAGTCAACATGCAGAAGGTCAGTTGGTAGAGGCGTGAAAGATGTGGTCTACTGTGTTTCTCTTTCTTTTATTCATGTTATTAGTTTTTTCTAGTAATTTTTGTTGTTGTTGTTGTTGTGTTTACAGTGTGTGTGTTGTATATTTTAGTTAATTAGAGCACTGAATGATCGACCTGAGAATATCACTCTTTAATTTTCAAAACTATAGTACAGTAAACCCTTCATATAGCAATCTTCTGTATAATGGACTTCAAACATATAGAACAAAATCCGATATGCAAATAAGTTCAGAAAATAGGGGAAAATATCTGTTGGTTTTATAGGGGAGAGTGAGTGGTCACTGCTGGCCACTCACTCACACCTGTTATTCTGTTATATTGAAAGTTGAGTTTACCTACCTACCATTCTCTGCTCACTGTACCACACTGGTCTGGTATTTAGGTTAGTTAAGATTCGTCAGGAAACAGGACAAGTGTTTCCTGACACTGGTCTTAGTCAGATGATGACCCATTGGAGCTTTTGGTCATCTGACCAAGGCCTTCTTCTGGCTTACCAGTCCACCCCTTTACAAATTATGGTCATAATTATAACCATTTGTCTACTGCTTCCCCACTTTATTACGCATATAAATTCAGCACTTCCACATAAATAAAATACTGAAAATTATATTAAAATGTGCTTGTATTATATGATTATTTGTATCTACATTCAGTTACAGTTACATAACAATGATTATTACATAACAATGATTATTACATAACAATGATTATTCTTACTAATGTTAAGACACCATGTTGAACATTCTCACTGTTGTGCTGCAGGTGGCCAGTATGAAGTTGAAACTGATATCGTACGAGCAGATTTTACTGATGGTCGACCCATTTATGATAACATTAGGAAACATCTTGAAGGAAAGGAGGTTGGAATTTTAGGTAAGTTTATTTTTAGGTAAGTGTCATGTTTAGTTTTGTGCAATTTTTAGTCAAGTGTAATTCTTAGTTATAAGTGAAGGTTTTTATTAAATAAAACTCCTGCCCATCCTTTCCTCCCAGAAGCGTAAGCTACATATGTTAATATTATCAGAAGAACAAAATTAGTCAGGACATAGGAGCAGGGAAACACTGTCTCATCTATTCTTAAAGCTGCCCATGGGATAATTAAGCCTCGATAACCCTACTAACCCATGCTATATACGTCTTATACCTTTCATTGGACGTCAAATAGCACTTCGTCACTGAGGTCAGGATCCCTCACGTAGTTTCTACGTCATGAACTCAGCTCACTTAAATAAACTGTGGGTTTGTGCAGTATTAAAACAATACCATCCAAACGCAGTACAAGATGTGGAAAAAAAATATTGGGATTGTTTAATATATCGATTTTGAAGTGATTTCCAGAATGGGTTTATGGTTTTATTTGCTATTTCTTGGAATCATTTAATAGAATGGGAGACTTACTACTGAAGTAGAGATGATTTTCCCGATTCAAGGCCGGACTCTGGGAATAGAAAATCTCTTGAAACTCATCCAAGGTATCAGAGGCGTCGCTAGGGTTGGTGTCACCCGGGGCGGCATCTTTGATGCCACCCAGGGCGGCATCTTTGGTGTCACCCGGGGCGGCATCTTTGGTGCCACCCATGTAAAATCCAAGGGCGGGGGGATGAGGGGGAGTAAACTCCAGTTACGTCACTACTGCCTGACCAGTGACTAATGTTTAGCAATGAACCGAACAGGAGAATACTTCTCAACTTTATTAATGATAAAATAAATAATCGTAGTAATACCGAGGAAACATAAACTCAAAAAAAAAAAAACTTGAAAAACAAAAAAAACATTGCAATATCAGAGAAACACTTGTTCCGATTTGACCTTGAGTACAGGTAACATCTCAGTGAATCTGATCTTACATTTGACCTTGAGTACAGGTAACATCTCAGTGAATCTGATCTTACATTTGACCTTGAGTACAGGTAACATCACAGTAAATCTGATCTTACATTTGACCTTGAGTACAGGTAACATCACGTAATCTGATCTACATTATTGATACATACATACAGTAAATCTGATCTTACATTTGACCTTGAGTACAGGTAACATTTCAGTGAATCTGATCTTACATTTGACCCCGAATACATGTAACATCTCAGTGAATCTGATCTTACATTTCCTTGCCTTCAGTCCTGCAAAATCATCTATCACAGCATCAAAATCAATGTTGTCAACTGACCCATTTTCTATGGATAACATTGTTAAGTCAGAGATTCTGGATTGACTCATTGTGGACCGTAAATAGTTTTTAATCAGCTTCAACTTGGAGAAACTCCTTTCACATAAAAAGCCACAGCAACACATATAGCAGAGTGTCAGAGCTGAAAGAGATTCAATGATATCCTATTCATCTATGAATGTTAGTACATCCAATGTAATCAAGTGCTTAACTTTTTCAAGATCAACATCAGCAGCTTGCAGGTGCCTCCTTAGTCTTGGTGTTTCAAACATGAGCTCATTCTTACATATGTCATTATAGAAAACTGTGAGTCTTGAAACCAACACCACCAATTCTTCCTCAGTAGCTTGCACAAGATTCTTCGTCTGAATGGCCACAAACATGGCTGCCACGTCCTTAATTGCTTTTGATCGTATCTCGAGTTCATTATGAAAACGATCAATGCACTCCAACATCGCCCAACATCTCTTGCCTGCTCTCCTGCCATCCTTTTCTTTAACTTGATTCATCTCTTTGCTGAAAATCCATGCTCCTCACATTTCAAAAGTGCATGTACGTGTACTTGTAGTAAATAAAGATATTATTATTATTATTATTATTATTATTATTATTATTATTATTATTATTATTATTATTATTATTATTATTATTATTATTTTTAAATTCTCCACTAGGCGATCTCGCCCTTCATACAGAAATAATGGCAGTGCCTCTAGCTTCGCCACCACTTTGTCAAGAGTTAAATCCGAAGTCTGTAAGTACTGCTGTGCAGCTGAACCTCCCGAAGTATATCACACCAGAAATACAGATAACACAAAAATGTGAAATCGCACACAGCAGGAAGAAGACCTTGTGCTGCTCCTCTTGTTTCCAAAGTTTCCTGTGGATCGCAAAGAACTTCAATCGCTGCCACAAATTTCTCGAACGATTCCGCTACTGGTTTCGCTGCACTGAAATGAGAACTCTATCTTGTTGATAATCTTTTCAAAGAGACTGCAGTATGGTCAGGTAGGTGATCTTGGTTGCCAATATGACGTTTTTCAGAGCATAGTTCTAGCTGCCCAGACAACTTTTGTTCCGAGTACGGAAATTAGATCTAACAAAAATGATCCCAAAAGGATGAACAATAGATTAAAACATCTCATTGGTCAAAAGAGAGGCATATATAGGCGTATCAGCAGAGGGGATGGGCAGTTAAGAAATCAATATATTCAATTAAAGAGAGAAATAAAGAAAGGAATAAGAAAAGTAAAAAGGGATTATGAGGTTAAGGTCGCAAGGGATTCAAAGACTAACCCAAAAGTGTTCTTTCAGGTATACAGAAGTAAGATTAGGGACAAGATTAGCCCCCTTAAGAGTAACTCTGGTCAGATCACTGACAGTGATAAGTATATGTGTGAAATTCTAAATACCTACTTCCTCTCAGTTTTCACCCAGGAAAATACTATCGATATTCCTGAAATAATAGATTATGTAGAACAGGATGTTAATAAACTATGTACGATTCCGGTAACTAGTAACATGGTCCTTAGACAAATAGAGAAACTAAAACCTAACAAATCCCCAGGCCCTGATGAACTGTTTGCAAGGGTGTTAAAGGAATGTAAAGAGGAACTTAGCATACCTTTGGCTAATCTTTTTAACATATCACTACAAACTGGCATAGTGCCTGATAAGTGGAAAATGGCAAATGTAATACCTATTTACAAGGCAGGTGACAGGTCCTTGGCTTCGAACTATAGACCAATAAGCCTTACCTCCATAGTGGGAAAATTTATGGAATCAATAATTGCCGAAGCAATTCGTAGCCATCTTGACAGGCACAGATTGATTATTGAATCTCAACACTGTTTTACAAAGGGGCGTTCCTGTCTTACGAATTTACTAACTTTTTTTTCACTAAGGTGTTTGAGGAGGTAGATCATGGTAATGAATATATTATTGTGTATATGGACTTCAGTAAGGCTTTCGATAGAGTTCCACACCAGAGGCTATTGAGGAAACTTAAGGCACACAGAATAGGAGGAGAAATTTTTTCCTGGGTAGAGGCATGGCTGACAAATAGACAGCAGAGAGTTTGCATAAATGGGGAGAAATCAGAATGGGGGCACGTCACAAGCGGTGTTCCTCAGGGGTCAGTGTTGGGCCCGTTGTTGTTCACAATTTACATAAACAACATAGATGTGGGGATAAACAGCGACATAAGCAAATTTGCTGATGACACCAAAATAGGCCGTCCAATTCATTCTAATGAAGATACTAGAGCACTCCAGGATGATTTGAATAGACTGATGCAATGGTCGGAGAAGTGGCAGATGCAGTTTAGTATTGACAAATTCAAAGTTCTAAATGTTGGACAGTTAAATAACCATGCCACATATAAACTAAATAATGTAGATCTTAATACTACTGATTGCGAAAAGGATTTAGGAGTTCTGGTTAGCAGTAATCTAAAACCAAGACAACAGTGCATTAGTGTTCGCAATAAAGCTAACAGATTTCTTGGCTTCATATCTAGAAGTATAAATAATAGAAGTCCTCAGGTTGTTCTTCAACTCTATATATCCTTGGTTAGGCCTCATTTAGACTATGCTGCTCAGTTCTGGTCACCGTATTACAGAATGGATATAAATGCTCTGGAAAACGTACAGAGGAGGATGTATCAGAAATCTTCCCTATGAGGATAGACTGAGGGCTCTGAAGGCGTATAATTAGGGGGATATGATCGAGGTGTATAAACGGAAAACAGGAATAAATAAAGGGGATGTAAATAGCGTGCTGAAAATTTCCAGCCAAGACAGGACTCGCAGCAATGGTTTCAAGTTGGAAACATTCAGATTCAGGAACGATATAGGAAAACACTGGTTTGATAATAGAGTTGTGGATGAGTGGAACAAACTCCCAAGTACAGTTATTGAGGCTTAAACGTTGTGTAGTTTTAAAAATAGGTTAGATAAATACATGAGTGGGTGTGGGTGGGTGTGAGTTGGACCTGACTTGCTTGTGCTGCTGGGTCTGGAGCAGTGCTCCATCCTTGAGTGGAGATGACCAGACTGGGTGGGTCTACAGCATCCAGGACCTTGTCATAGTGGTCCAGTAGCTCGACAGGCAGGAACGACCTGCTCTAAACCCGTGTTACCCTGTGTTGTGTAACTGATGGGTAACTGATGATATGGGATGTTAGTGCTATCGGTCATTAGTTCTTTGCAATTGCTTTACTGCCACCTTTGTGGAGTGGGGATATGTTTGTTGTTTTTAGTGTGTGTGGGATGACCCCTGTGTCCATGCTCCCTCTCCATAAAATACTGACGGCATGCGATAGGGACTTCCTGCAGTTCTTGATGAACACAGAATTTCATGAGTCTGGGCCTGGGGCAGAGTGCATGGGCATGTCATTAATTGCCTCTTCAAAATCTTGTGGAGTTATAATAATATCCGAAAGTTTTGGGATGACCAAATTTTGGGTTTCTTTCATAAAGAATTCATTTGGATTGTCGACCCTTAGTGTGGGCAGTGGATCGCTAAACACTGAGTCATATTGGGACTTTAGAGTCTCACTCATTTCTTGGCTATCATCTGTGTATGTCCCATCCTGCCTAAGCAGGGGCCCAATACTGGATGTTGTTTTTCCCTTAGATTTGGCATGAAAGAAGAAGTTTTTTTTTTCAGTTTCCTTTATGGCTTTTAGTTCTTCCTGTGATTC